AATCAAAGCCATCCAGTCGCCTTCCCGTCGACGCTCAGCTGTCGGATCGTGTTGCCCGGCTTGTAGGAGCCAAAGTAACGCAGCTAATGGGTTCACAGTAAGAATGTACTTTATGGATGCCGCAGACATTAATAAAAATTTAAATGTTTTTTGTGTTAGTGAGGAATTATGAGCAAAATATCTCCTTCAAATATTGTGTTACAGGCGCAAGGTAACTCTGAATATAAATTACAACTGTGCAATATTAAACGGCAAATTATTCTTCAATACAAAACAGAACTCAATAAATTATAATCTAATAAAACTGGATTAGAAATTAACAAGACAGACAGATAGATATTTCACATGCCACAGCAAGTTTCCAGTTCACCCAAGTTATCAATGTAAAGCAGACATGCATTACATTTTGTCTCTGGGGTCTGAAGTGTAATTATAGCACGGAAGTCTGGTGGACTTGAGTCGTCAAAACCAAGGAAGTGAACCATAATAGAAACAGATTTGTAATTTGTCAATGTCATTATCAAGTTCCATTGTTGGGAGAGGTGGCCCTCCATGTAGGCCGTCGCGCTCCACCTACTCACCCATACTGATTTCCTTTCTTTACAAAAATCTATTACACAACCATGTGTTTTGGTAGCCCTTCAATACTGGATATATGCAGACTGCGGGGCAGGTGAGAGCCTCCAGAGGGGAGGGAGGGGAAGGGTATTGTATCAGTAGCAGGGTAGAGAGAGATGTGGAGGCGACTCTCACGAGACGAAGGGCAAATGGAGAGACACCAGGGATCATGAAGAGGAGGAGGAACAAGGGAAGGAAAGGAGGGGCAGAAGAAGAGAAGGATAAGCATGGGAAGGGAATATCTGAATAGCATAGGAAAGAGACAAGGAGGCAAATCTCACGATATTTAGATCAGGCGAAAGCCTGAAGGTAAAGAAATGGACATGGGAGACAGGGGGAACGGGATTGTCTCAGTAGCAGGTCAGAAAGATGAGGAGGCAAGTCTCACTTCTTTAAGGATTTACGTTGACAAAGGACTCACGCAGAACCTACACTCAACATGCAAACTCCTGACCTTCTACAATACATTTTATCAGGTTAGGAATATATCTGAATGCATCATAGCATATACAACAGATCGGTGAGTATATAAGATCAAATCAGCATAAGAGGTAGGTGTATGCAAAACTGGGAGTGAGAGAGAAGGGCGTAAGCGGAGTGTGGCCAACAGGTACAGAACAAACAGAGTGACTCAATACCCCTAGAGGTTGCCAGCTAATGTGATGTATCTCCACACTCCCTGGCTACATAATTACCTTTGTTCTTCTGTCTTGACGCCTGTGTCGTCTTCGCCTGCTGAGACATTACCCCTATTCTTGCTTCCTCTCTCACCTCCCATCCCTAAGATTAATCTTTGTCTTTACATAAAGATCTCTCTCTTGCTTTGGATGTTTTTCGTGTATCGTGTAACTCAGGAGAGTGATTTGTTGACTTTACTGGTGATCGCCACTGAGACTATGTTTAACTTTTTGTCTGTTGTCGCTATGGTGCCAAGTCACACAGCAGCACTAATATGTTTCAAATACATTGTTAACGAAAAGATTTACATATGCAAGTCCTAGAGCGAGAGAAAGGGAGGGAGGAAGCAGCAATCATAATTCAGGTAGAGAGATCCTGGAGGTTGACACACAAATTATCGTTCAATCGTTCCCATCAAACACTGGGATTCGGCGGTTAATTTGCATACTGAGGTGCAGAGTGCTGGAGGCTGTGGAATTGATACGTTCCACCTGACGATGCTGTTGTTGTCGCTCCTCACGAACCATTCAAATATCTGATAATTGTTCTGCGATATCTTGCTTTTGTGAATTTTGTTGCTATTATATTTGCCTACAAGCGTACCATCACCTAAAAATTGTACATGGAATCAGAGATTAAGATCATTTATATATTCCATATATCTTCTGTTCTATTGAATGTGATAAGAAATAAAAATCTGAGGGTTAACGTTTAATAAATTCCCCGACAGTGATTTCTAAAAATTTCCCAACCAGTTCAATAGACCATCTGATGAAGCGAAGACTATTATTGATGGTGTTCATAATGAGCCGACAAAAGCCCACGTGGCTCCACTCTGCAGATGCACTGGTGCTGAACCATTGCTAATGGGGCCTCTATTGATTACAAGATTGTAGGCGGCAGCAGCCGTAAAAGTAGAGTGGGCCAATAGCCTGCCAAAGATAAGTAAAATAGAAGTCGGTCCTGCAAGTCATTGGTGTTAATTCGAATCAGCTGGGAGGAACCTTTCCATCCAGGTGGGGGTCTTAAGGAATGGTGATTTCTCAATTAAGGACGCCGAAACATCTTTAAAACTTTCTCCATTCACAAACGGCACAAACGAAGCGGGAATCATTATCACACATGACAGGAAGTATCGTATCTTCACGCAATCTATAGTTACAACTCCAGTCACCGTATTCGTTCATCCCTCAACTCCCCTCCCCCCTAAACGCAACGGTGCACCGACCCCCTCCCCCTTTCACCCCCATAACCCTTAAGACGAGCCGCCGGACTCCATGACGAGCGCCTCCATTTCCCCCTTTGTTAGACGCCGATCAAGGACAATGATTCGCGGGATGTATTGTGTAGAAGGCCCTGTTTACCCAACACCAGTAGCGTCGCGCATCAATGGCTTCCTGATGGACTTGGTCGGCTCGCTGAATATTAAGCAGGACCTCCCCCGTGGCCGCCGAAGGACGAGAAAGGTAGTTGAGGGAATAGAGATAGAGGAGGAGGAGGCGTCCCACCGGCCTGCTAGCTGATGCAGACGGGACGAGGTTGCTCACAACACGGTATGGAAGGCTGTAAGGTCACGAGACACGAGAGTGGCGGCCGCGGGGCGCGGCCGTGATAAGAATGTATCGGAGGAAGAAGATATGATTAGGCAACAGGGATGGTACAGATACACACAGACGGGAGTCACTTTGTAGTTAAAGGTAGATGAGGGGTGAGATACCACATATTCGGACGAGAGAAGCTTTGGATTACACTGTTGGGACCAGGGAGAAGAACAGGTTAAGACACTGAGACCACTGGTTTATAATATTGGGGCGCGGAGGAAGGGACATGGAAAACTATAAGACGAAGATGGGCAAGTTGATGAGGAACAAGGGTCCTCAGCCAATTAGAATACATCATATAATTCGGTTTAAAATCAACCAAAATTGTAATTCATTGTTGCTCTGAAAGAAGCAAGAAGAAATATGTTGAAAACATATTTATTAAATACATTAAGGCCTAGACTACTGATGAGAACACATTATAATATATATTTTATTATTGCTTATTAAAGCCAATTTTTCACTTTGAATTACAGTGTAACTTTTTTCTATTTATTATTAGTTTCTGATTGCTTATGCCTCCAAAGTATATAAAATAACTGTTATTCGCATCAAATTTTTTTTTGACCTTTGACTCGCCTTAAGACGTCTTGAAGGTACTTGAAGGTTGCCAACTTACGAAACAATGTATCACAGCTCCACATAAAGAGCAGACAGCCTGAGACCAGGAGACATGGCAGGAAGTGCAAAACAGACCCATTAAAAAGCATAGGTGCAATACGCTAAAATGAAACTCTTATAAATATCAAAGCCCCAAGAGTGCACAACCCGCACGCTACATAAGGGTGTACATAACTCGCCGGCCTCTTACGGTGTTCAAGAGAGAACTCGACAAAACCTTCCAAATGATACATGATAAACCAGGCTGTGATTCATTCGTCAGGCTACAGACAGCCGCGTCGAACAGCCTCGTTGATCAGACCACCAACCAGGAGCTCTAGTCAAAGAGACAAGGCCGCGGGTACATTGATCCTTAGAATCACCGCAAGGTAATCGAAACGTAAAGTAGGTAAGTAAGCCTTCAGGTACCTTCAAGATGGCTTCCCTAAACTGTCTCGGACAAAGATTAAGGCAAAATTTAAGGGAAATCACAACCATTTTCTATACTTCAGAGGCTTCAGCAACCAGAAAATATAACTTACTATACTTACATACCCTTAATACCCTTACATACCCTTAGCACCCTTACATACCCTTAGTACCCTTAGTACTCTTACATATCCTTAGTACCCTTACATACCCTTAATACCCTTACATACCCTTACATATCCTTAGTACCCTTACATACCCTTAGTACCCTTACATACCCTTAGTACCCTTACATACCCTTAGTACCCTTACATACCCTTAGTACCCTTACATACCCTTAGTACCCTTACATACCCTTAGTACCCTTACATACTCTTAGTACCCTTACATACCCTTAGTACTCTTACATACCCTTAGTACCCTTACATACCCTTAGTACCCTTACATACCCTTAGTACCCTTACATACCCTTAGTACCCTTACATACCCTTACATACCCTTACTACCCTTACATACCCTTAGTACCCTTACATACCCTTAGTACCCTTACATACCCTTGGTACCCTTACATACCCTTAGTACCCTTACATACCCTTACTACCCTTACATACCTTGTGAAATCATCGCAAGGTAACCCAGGAATAACAACTGTTACGTTGTCTTATATATATTTAAAAACCACTGAAATATATTTTATGCTATGCTGTTATATTCTAGTCAAAATATTAATATATACTATTATGAAATGTTGATCTTTTGACGTGTTAGAAATTAAAGTTTTGTAACTAAATCACACACTCACACAGGATGTCCATCTTCAACACTATTGCTACTACTTATATCATTATCTTCTCCACCGATACCATACCACATCCAATAGATTACCAACACCAATAACACACCACAACCACTATCAGTACCATTAGCCCACCTCCCCCAACCAATACCACAACCACCATCACTACCATTACCCCCACCAATACCACAACCACCATCACTACCATTATTTCCTCCCCTTACCAATACCACTTCCACCACCACCACAACTCACAGCTGAATGCTTTTCTCCCCCAGGAATATACGGGACGGCCGGCTGGGGCCAGAGGGTCTCTCTATGCCCCCAAGATCGCTGGAGACCCTGCTAGCGGACAGATCTAAGGCCGAGCACGATCTCAAAATTCCTGCATCGGAGTTCGGTAAGCAGTTTCACGATGTCTATGGTGAGTACTCAAAATTTATCACACATTATCTCTGTTTTGATTTGTTTTTTGGCTGCTAGGTAATTGGATACTTTTTTTTCTTAGTTACTATTTCCTCCTATATGGTAACTGGGAGGACTAGAGAAATAGGACTTCAAAATAAAGTGTGACCACATGCTTTTTTTTTTTTGCTTGTTAGATTGTGAACTGAGTTGAAGTTACTGTATTCTGACGTTCAAGTTTCATCCGCTAGGAGTTAATGCTTCTAGATTTTCTAGTACTAGCAATGGATGCACGCCAACACTATTATGCTTGACATATTTATGTCGTCAACATGCATGCATGTTGACGACACTCTTATTTCTTATGCTATATCATTGTTGATAAAATATGCAACAATATTTTTAAATAAATAAATGTGGTGATTTGGTAGGCTGGAGCCTACCAGCTGCCCGCCAGGCGGTGCCATCACACTGCTGGTAACCACCTGGATCCCTTTTTTGCAGGACCACTGCCCCCGATGAGCCATGCCCACCTACACCCACCCCTGAGACCACACCTACCCCCGCCCCTCGCTCCTCCCCCAATGGCCTCGCCCCTCCAGCCCCTGGCACCGCACCCCCCGCCTGGCACCCCGCTCCATCACCTGCTGGGGGAGGAATGGCGACGATCGCTGGAAAGATCAGCACAGGAACGTCACCACCTCACCTCAGGTCAGCACCTTGTCAGCCACACTCTTGTATCACATATTATACATCAGAAATATATCACAAATACATCAGTTTCCAATTCCGGTAAAGTTGACATCACTGTATCACCCACAGGTCAAATGTCACCGGACAGCGGAGGAGTCCAGATGGAACGTTCGGACTCTAGGGATTCTCCTCTGGGGGACATCAACATGAAGAGTCCTTCCTCGCTTGTCAATGGCTTCCCGCACGAAACCAAAAGTCCTTTCCAGTCGAGGGACGACCGTTCGCCATTTAAGGAGGAAATCCCTTCACTGGCCTTCAAATTTGAGGACCGAATTACTGGAGAGTCTCTTATCCCTAAGGGCGACCCTATGGAAGCCCGGTTGCAGGAAATACTAAGGTGGGTGTTTGTATGGTGTGTGTGTGTGTGTGTGTGTGTGTGTGTGTGTGTGTGTGTGTGTGTGTGCGCGTGTGTGTGTGTGTGTGTGTGTGTGTGTGTGTGTGTGTGTGTGTGTGTGTGTGTGTGTGTGTAAATTATTCATATAATGACTCTACAATCCACTAGAAAAATCTAAAATACAAGCACAACAAAAATTAACAGTCAGATATATTCAATCTCAAACATTTGGACACTTTCAATTAAGCTTACACCAGCTAAGTGAGTATCATGGACGGAGATCGGTGTCCCAGCTGACCCCAGCCACCTCTCACCTTCAGGTTCAACATGGAGAAGTTCTGCCAGCAGAACCTCGACACACTCACTCTCGCCCGACGAGTGCGTGAACTCCTCTCTATCCACAACATTGGACAGAGACTTTTCGCGAAATACGTCCTTGGGCTTTCGCAAGTAAGTTTGGCTGTGATCAATCCACCAATTCCTAACGTTTTTGTTTTCTGTTTTTTGATAAGCTTATTTCAACGGATTCAGATATTATTTAAAGAGAAACGTTTCTAAATGTCAAAATTTTGCTCATATCGGTAATAGTCAGATGAAAAGTTGATAACTAATCTAACATACTATTTTTTTATGTAATATGAGAAGTTTAGCTAGTATATATTTCTTATATAATCACAGTACTTACAAAGAACATTAATTATTGCAGATTTCTTCCCGTGTCCCACCTTTATTTTTGTATTTTCTCCTCATCCATTTTGTCAATTATTTTTATCTCAACTTTCCTTTTCATCCTTCATCAATAAATTTCTAAAAATATCTGAAATCCCTAATACCCTTCTATTTTCTATGTGATATTTTTCATTGAGATTGTTGTTTTTTCTTTAATTCCAGTAGTTAGTGTCTGATTCCTTGCTATATTGTTAATGGTTGTTTGGTGCATCTGCAGGGGACGGTGTCGGAGCTCTTGTCGAAGCCGAAGTGTTGGGACAAACTGACGGAGAAGGGCAGAGACTCCTACCGCAAGATGCACGCCTGGGCCACCGACGACAACGCTGTGTTCCTCCTCAAGTCTCTCATCCCCAAGAAAGGTGAGTACCGAAAAGCCTTGTGGGGGAAAAGGGGAAGTGGGGGGAAAGGGTGGGTGGGAGATATTCCCCATCCAGTCTATCAGTATAGCTTCGACGGTGGGTCGTGGAGGACAACACCGGCGGGTATTAGGAGGACGTGGCCAGAGTTCCATGAACAAAATTGTATCCAAATTCCTTAGCAGAGGCGTAGGTGGCTCTTTATGAGTCGTGTTCCGGGCTCTCATTAATGGCTGAACACTGGCGGTAGAGAGACAAGTAACTGGTGGTTTTTAAGCCAATATATGAAAGATGGTGAAGGGTAGACACTTGCCTCTTTAATAGGAATATCTAAGACTAAGTTTTAACATGGATTCTTGCGAGGGTTTAGTGGTTATAGTTCCACACACACACACACACACACACACACACACACACACACACACACACACACACACACACACACACACACACACACACACACACTTCCGAAGGGAGTTTTGCCCAGCAACTGTAAGATGGTGAATGTGGCATCAATATACAAGAAAGGAAATAGGGAGGAGGCACTTAAATACAGACCGGTATCACTGACCAGCATCCACTACAAAGTATTCGAAAGAATAATAAGTATAAGACTAAACGCCTAGAGAGGATTAGGTATGTAAACAAACACCAACATAGCTTGAGGAAAGATCAATCATGCCTAATGAACCTAATGGTAACGAAAATAAGGCAGGACCAAGAAGGTTAGACAGACTGATATTTCTGAACTGCCAAAAAGCCTTTGACACAATGCCACACAAGAGACGTGAGTAAGTGGAAGTGCACGGTCATGAGCAACAGAGTAACTAACAGACAGGAGTCAGTGTCTCAGAGGGCGAGAAGTCAGACTGGTGAAGGGTGTAAAGTAGAGTGGCTCATCGATCTAACTACAAGAGCTGAATCTTATATGTCGATGTTTGCAGACGATGCAAACTTAATGAGAAGAGTCGAGACATATTAGGACTGTAAAATTCTCCAAGATGACATAGATAAAACTGCAGAGTTGGTTTGAGACATGGCTTCTGGAGTTCAACACCAGCAAGTGTAAGATATTGGAAATGGGAACAGGTCAAAGGAGACCAGGAGGACGGCACACAATGAAGAGAAATGACCTCCATAGAACGATTAGAGAAAAAGACCTCGGAGTGGACACCAAACCTAACTCCGGCAGCACATATAAATAGGATAACATCAGCAGCATATTCCACACTCAGAAAAGTCAGAACATCATTCACGAATCTAAATAAGGAACCATTTTGGTTACTGTACACCACCTACGTGAGACCATTTCTAAATTATGCCGCCCCCCATTGTCGAGCACCTAACTCAAAAAGTACAGAAGGAAACTTGAAAATGTAGAGGTTTGCAATGAGGCTTGTACTAGAATTGCAAAACATAATTACTAGAATTGCAAGGCATGAGGGTATGAAAAAAACTGAAAGATCTTAAGTATAAAATATTTAAGGAAATTGACAGAGTGCAAAAAGGAGAGAAGTACACAATAAATACCAATAAGACAACAGGACAAAGAAGGAAGCTTGAGAATCAAATGAGCCAGATACATGTTTAGCGTAAGAGTAGAGAGAAAAAGGAATACACTAAATGAGCAGATTGCAGAAGCAAACTTCATTTATATTTCTATAAGTAGATATGATAGAACAATGGATCAGTACATTAGACAACCGGCTGCTGGTTCAAGAGCTGTATAGGGTTCAAGAGCTGTAGTTCGATCGCGCAGGCACAAATAGGGTGAGTAAAACACACACACACACACACACACACACACACACACACACACACACACACACACACACACACACACACACACACACACACACACACACACACACACACACACACACACCTGTGAATGAACTGTGAATTAGGCACTTCACAGCTTCATGTTGATAAATGTACCTTAAAAACGCTGGGGGAAATCTGATCGTCCACATTCACTGCCAAATTTTATGAGACCCGATTAGGAATTATAAATAAAGACTTAATTAATGAAGCCGAGGCTCGCACTGGACAAAATGACAATTAATAAGTCTGAAGCTGTAGGAGTGGACCTACTACCGCACATCAATTAAACCTTACTGTTCCAACTGCTATCTGCCATTTCTTCCTGTGCTCCAAAATACGCTATTTTCCCTATTTGATTTATTAAATATATTTAGTTATGCACACCTCTTAAATAGCTGGGCAGCTCAGGGGTTAAGAACTAACAGACTATCAATTCCCGAAGCGAATGAGACAAAGCTGCACAGGCAACAAACATGGGGTTAAAGACACGCTTGTTGCAGGATTTCCACGTCATTGCAACTTGGTCGCCTCATTTGTCTAATCCAAAACTTGGCCAGATGACCCAAATTACAGGGCAGGAGGAAAATATGTTACATTAACATACTTGACCCTGCAGGTTGCCACGTTGCTATGGTACGTCGATTTTTTGTTTAATAATTATTTCTTGTTTACACCTTCTTGTATGTGTCGTGTATTACTAAGAAATTGATACTTCTCGGTGTATTTAGGTCCACGAGCTAACAACGGTTCGTTAGTGGTAGCGTGAGACTGGGAGCTTTAGAACACGTGGAATTTTAAGCTGCATCGACGCTTACAGTTGCGACAGGTCTTTACGTGCAATATACCGCCCTCTGGTGATTTTTTTCTCTTGGCTTCGATCACTTTCCATAAGCCGGATGACGAAGATATCGACATATGCGTGCACGCACGCACGCGCACTGCAGCAATAATTACAGCACGCGTAGGTGTATATAATTACTGAGTACACCCATACACAGAGTTCCATTTGTGCATTAATAAGAGAGTGTATGGAGGTCGTATGAATATTCAGGGCGCCAATACAGACCCGCATCAGACTGTAAACTTCAAGAAAACCCTTGGAAATAAATCATCGTTTGCAATTTTTGCCCCGAAGTTCAACATGCACGCGAGACAAGCCTTATGACAGAGACAGATTAGAGTCAAAGTTGCGTGAGATGTAATGAATGTTGCAATTTAAGGAGTCGGGCTTGTCAGCAAGGCTTGAAAACACCCTCTTTCATTACCCTGATTGTAAAGCGTTGTCTGCCAATTCCTTTGATGCCGCACACGATCAAACAAACGCAACCAAAATGTCGGCCCAAATGCAAAACGACATTTGTTAATACCTCTGATCTCTTTGGCAGCTGAATCTATAATTATACACCTTGGTGTTTAGGCCTCTAAGCCTTAGTCTAAATTTTGACAAGTAGATAGACGGAGCAGGGGATTGGGTTGGGTTGGGTAGAGGGGGTGGTAAGAGGGGATATCAGGAGCCGCTTTCCAGCATTGAAGCGACATACTAGACCTGTACCTAATAATTTTCACGGAGTCCCCGGTCATTGGTCGCCGTTTTCGGTTGGGTCAGTCCACACCTGTAAGGCAGGACGGGCTCAGTCTTGCTGTCAGGTGTGTTTGTTTACGGGTTGGGGTGGCATTACTCATGCCCCAGGGTACACATAACAAATTTCATAATTGTAAGGTTGCGGTTACCTGCGCCATTCGGCTGTATGGTTTATGAGAGTCGAGTCCGCACAAGAAGCAGTTAGAAGTATTTTTATGGACTTGCAATATGTGATTCAATGCACAAAGTATGCAAAGTAGGGCTCGAAAATTGTTGTATGATTTTTTCACATGCATATTGCATGAGCCGTCGACAAACTTATAGACTTATTACCATACAAGGCAAGGAAATTAGCACGTAAAATAAATAACTATATTAAAAGTCTTAAAACAAGAGTCTTCATTAGTTGTGTGTACTCGGCGGCCGGTAACAAGAGGACATAAAAAGGCAGAGCTGGAGGCGAACGAACTGAGACCACCATTCACCCACAACATGCCCGGCGCCGCTGACCAATGGCTCACGATTAGTCTGGATTTCGCACATCATCAGCGACATCTCTCTCTTGCCAATTAACGAGTCGTTGTTCCGATCCGGTAATCTGATTTGAATTTCCCGCCGTGATGATGGTGGTGTGTTGGACTAGGAGGAGGAGGAGAAGGAGTTGGGGGCCAAAGCTTCCCTTGTTTATACAACCGACCACTCCACAATACCGTCTGTTGCTTTTTTTGCTCCCAAGCGCTGTTTGTCTTCCCTCTCTCAACCATGTTTTTGGAGCCAAGTTAAGATCAGTCGAACGCTTGCTCAATCAACTTTATTGCTAAAAAAATATCAAAGAAAATAGTAATTTAAATAAGAGAAAGTGTTGACCATCACAAGTTTAGCCCAATTACGAATGCGCTGTATAATTAGGGTTAATGAATGAAGCCTTCAGTGTTTACATACAAATGAACCGATACGTGACGAAGTGTACGTTGGGGTCTCTCGTTCCTCTTTTTATGTAACTTGATTTTTAATGCATCATCAAAGCCGCCATTATGAACAACTTGTCCGAGTTTGTGGAAAAAAGGCTTATGTCTTTATGTAAAAGGCTTACAGTATTTTTTTTTACTAATTATAGCCTTCCTGACATGGTCTAACGACAGCCATACATCATCTTATTATTAACCCAACCTAAACACTCTTTAGCGCCATGCTCCGCTCATTTACATATGGGTAATAATGAGCTAATAATTGCTGTGCTTACCAACCTGCTCCCCCTCTTGCCCCTCCAACTCCTGTCGCTCTACAGTACTCCCATTCCCCCTCCCCTACCCCTCACTCTCTCCTCCCCTTCCCTCCCCACTCATCCCTTTCCTACCCCATTGCCCTCTTCTCCCACCCCATCCCCTTTCCTCCCTATGGCCGTATACCCTAAGGATAACGATCTGCAGAGATCAGCGAGCATAAGTACTAATATTGTAGTTACGTCAGGAGACGAGGTAGGCAAAGAATTCTTCAGCATGGTCAAACATTACCATGAGATTACCTCGAGGTGGTTCCGTGGATCAATATTGCGTAGACATAATGCGTAGTGCAGGTGGTGACAGGTATATACATA